TTTCGAAACGGCGTCGAAAGTACTCGGGCAGCACAGATGGAGATGAAAAATTCCAGGGGTCGTTGGTCACTCAGACACAGGTAATAAGTAACCGCAAGTAACGGGCTTTAATCGTTGCTTGTGGTGATAAAGAATTTCTCACTGCTGAAATAAAGGGGGAAGTAAATTAGGGTTCAGTAACTCCAGTAACAGTCAAGGTAACGTTGACACATATATTGAATTTTTAACTATTTACAATAAAAAAAATAAATAAATATTTCAACGCCCACCCCCGCTCGTAATTTTAAAACCCTGAACAAAATAAAAACAAACAGATCGGCCAGTAATGATTAGTCTCAATCAGACGGTAGAATTAAAATTAGAAGAAAGATGCTCGGTGGCAATAGTATCTAATTAATAAATTTGTCGGATCGGTGGTTGAGCCAAAACGAAACCAAAAACAAATAATGGCGGTCGTAGCAAAAGTTAATTAGTTAACTCTTAAATCGGCATAAAGATTAAAGTTAAATATTTTGTTTCGTAAAAAAAAATTAAAATCACGGTCGTAGAAAAAGTTATCTGGTTAACTCTCTAGTCGGTATTGAAACTGAAACAAACCTCCTTGTTTTAGTGAATGGGGAATAGATAAATGATAAGAAAACGGGATAGTATCAATCCTATGAGGAGTGCACTCGCCACAACCAGCACGCTCAACATAAAAATGATACTATCATTTTAATCACGGCGCGGAGGTAATTAAAAGAAAACAATCAAAATCCGGGTTAGTATTTAATCCTATGATGAGTGTACTCGCCACAACCAGCCCACTCAAACACAAAACAAAATATCAAACCGGGTCAGTATTTATCCTATGATGAGTGTACTCGCCAAAACCAGCCCTCTCAAACATAACAAAAACACTAATATGTTAATCACGGATAGGGGTTAATCTAAATAAAATCTAAAACCGGGATAGTATCTAATCCCATGTGAGCTTTCTCGCCACAACCAGTCCACTCGACATGAAAAATGATACTATTTCAACTTTCCAACTTTCGAACTAATTCTATTCCCAAGTAAAGAAACATAAATAAAAAAAAAAGTTAAACCAGATTGTGAATAAATAGAAACAAAATTTACGGTCGTAGTAAAAGTTAAGTAATTAACTATGTACGGAATTTAATTTAAATTTAAATTTATTATTACTAAAAAAAATTAGGAACAAAATCAACGGTCGCAATGAAAATTAACTAATCAACTGTATACGGAATTTAATTTGAAATTAGGTTTACTATTACTGTAAAATAGAAACACAATTCACGGTCGTAATAAAATTAATTAATTAATAAAATAGAAACAAAGTTTCTATTTCCTAATAACCAAAACTAATTTCCAATGTTTCTAAATAAAATCAAAACTAAATAATTTATCTGTAAATCAAAATATTTTTAACGAAAATCTGAAATCAATTATTATTTCTATTAAATAAAATCGAAAACGGAATAATTATTTCAAATGAAACCGGTATTCGAACGTTTTAACTCAAGAACCGTCGACAAAAAAAAAATGTAAACAAATTCGGTGTACCTAACTACGGTATCGGCGATAATTTTCAGCGGCGTATATCGGAGCAAAAGCAGGAGATGCTAGTCGAATCAGTAAAGTTAATTGAATGAATTTTTAAAACTCAAATCTGAATCCGAGACTATGCCCAAGCAGGCTAGCTCCCCACTTGATGTGCGCGGATCGCGCGCGCTATCGTTACTCAGGTATAATACGCGAATTTAAATGAAACAAAATTTGATGTACAGGGTCTGCCCATGAAGTTAAAATAAAATAAAAATAAAAATTTATATCCGGAATAGGCCGAAATATAGTAATGAAAATTGACTTCATTACAAGTTTAGCAATATATTCCCTTCTATATCACATAATAATATGTCCTCGATACAAAAAGTCAAAGTAACAAAAACAGGAGGCGAATGTAAACAAACAATAAACGGTCTCATGACATTTTATATTTTTAAATAAACTAGGTTTTTAAAAAATATTTTCTATACCTGTTATTTTTTATATTCAAGCGGATTTATACTATTTAAACTTGGAGTAGCCATAGTTAAATGAAAAGGTACCTTTGGTTTTATAATATGTAGCGATCAGATATAATGTTTCAGCATATTATTATTATTTATATTTTAACAAAAATTATTTTTATTGTTTTAATAATCTGTTATAATGAGGTAAAGCTTCTAGAACAAATTCATAAAAAACCCGTACTGTTAAACTCACCATTTATTTGGCATTCTGTCCCGTACTTCCATGTCTCTATTAGCTCTGCTGTCAACTAGTTCTGGTAAGGCATATTGCATATAATAATTTTGAATTTTATTTTGCACCTTTTTTTTCCATTATGAGGAATGTCCTCCACTTTTATTTCTCGAGAAGTCCAAACGCACAAAATGCAAAAAATCATTTGTGTAATGTGCAGCTAGCCCTGAATTTGAAAGTACCGATTGTGGTTCCCCTTAATGGTATTATCCTTTTTCCAGAAAGTTATTTTTCTATTGCATATGCCTTTTTCTTCAGTCAACACTCTAGCTTCATATGGACATTTTAACTCTATCATAGAGTTTATTGTTTTAAATTCCATCTGGACTGGCAGGAACATAATCAAATTCGGAATCAATAAAAGTCCACATATAAAAACTTTTCCTTGCTAATAAATTTCCAAATCTTAAAAGGCTTTAGCAAAAAATAAAAGATTTTATGAGATTGTTTAAAAAATGCCTTTCCTTTTTTCACAAATGTCTCCAAATTTTGAAACAGTGACTCGTTTTCGTCTTTCATTTTGCTACAATCCACAATCAGCTTGATCTCTTGTCACATTCATTTTTTTCTCATTTATAGACATTATCAATTATCAAACTTTTTAGAAAATCTTCTTTTGCAACGCGCATCAAAGAGTGTGAGAGATCAAATCCCACGCTCGAAACCAAAAAAAAAAGATTTACTAAGTTCGAAAAAATATACATTACTTTAACAGCTTAAATTTCTTAAACATTTGTTAATATGCTGGAATTCAATATTCTTAACTCGAAGATGTATTCATTAAAAAAAATTCCCGTGCAATATAAAAGTTAATTTATAATTCAAATCTCATTGTATACCTTTTAATTTCGGATATATTTTTTTAATAAATAATGATAAAATTAATTTAAAATAATTGAGCGAAATTACTGTATGTAAAAATAACAATAACATAAAACAAAATAAATTCAAATCACTTGCGTACGTTTATCACTTGTAAACAGTAGAAAAGGATATACATTTTGTTGGTGTCGCCCTTTAGACGAAAAAGCTTTTAACGTATTTTTTTTAAATTTTTATTGAGAAAAATAAATGTTCCTGTAAAAATTAAACATATATTGTTCTCTTCTAGCATTTTTATTTGTATTTTTTTTTTTTTCAATAGAAAGATATCTTCTTACATTTTCTCAAAATAAACCGATTCAAATGTTCAAAAAGTGACTACTTACATAATTTTTCAAAAAATAAAAAATAATCCGTAAAATTGGTGTACTATGAAACCCATTGCATATTATATAAATATGTCTATATTATTATTACAGAAATGATTTACATAAAACAATAAGGTGTACCTACAAATACGTAAACTTTAATTATCCCTCGTAAAACATCAGTAAAATATTTTGTAAATTGTTTTCATTCACAAATATTAATTTCTTAAAAATCTAACAGTGGCGCCACTTGCCAGACGAAAAATCTTGCAATGTAAGGGTTTCGTAGTACCCAACTTTTAAAGTTTATTTTTGGTTATTTTTAAAAGAAAAAAATATGTACGTGTAGATAAAGGTTAAATCTATGCTCCTCTGGAACCACTTTTTCAAAATACAATTTAGTTTTTTCTAAAAAAAATTGAGAAAATGGATCAAAAAAGTCGAGTTTTGTATTTTTTTTTTAGAAAAAACAAATTAAAATTTTGAAAAAGTGTTTCCAGAGGAGCACAGATTTAACCTTTACCTACACGCACATAATTTTTTCTTTTAAAATATGTCAAAAATAAACTTTAAAAGTGGGGTACTACGAAACCCTTGCATACTCTGCTCTAAAGACAAGTAAATACTCCTCTTAATTGGTTTAGTTTTATTCGCTTTAATTCGCCAATTTTTTTATCACGAGGCAATAGAGTAAAATTTAAGAAACAATAAGATACGTTGCGGTAGTTATGTTGCTGTTTGCAGGAAGCTGTGTACGTAACAGCCCAAGTACACTTATTTGATTTTAAAATTTGAGTTGAAAGTGTCGGTCATGCAAGTAAGATTTTAGGATAAGGCAAAGGTTAATCGGCAGGTTTTTTCTTATTTTATGTATTATCCCATGTGTCAGACCTTGTAGAATGCCTGAGCAATATTGAAAAAGGCACCGAAATAGTATTTTTCATTTTCAAGTGATTTGTGATTTTTTTTTGTAGGTCAATGGACTTGTTCTGAAGGGGCATGTTGCGCTTTAAATCCAAATTGATGGTTAGGTATTAATCGGTTGGCATTCAGGATTGGTTCTGTCAGTCATTTTACTAATAATTTTGACATAGCGGGTAATACACTGATGAATTTTTAGATGTTGTCTGCTTTGTAGGTTTTCCTAGCTTAGGAATTAGTATGCATAGTATAACACGTGTTTCATTAGTTTTAAAAATTCATTTCCCAAGAAGATTACAAAGTTTGTTTGGAGTTTTTGAAAATACGATTTTGAAACTTTTTTGTATACTATTTAAAAGTAGGTAATACACACACGTTTTGACTGATGAAAACTTAAAAAAAAATACGAACATGCATAGAAACTGACGGAGTTAGTATGTAAATAGCTCCATATTTATTTAGAGATATTTGTTGAAATTTTGAATAAATATTGCGATTTTATAAAGAATTCTCGAAATTCGTAGTTTTTAAAATCAAAATCAGTCATTGTTTTACCATAATAATTTTTCATCTTTTTTAAAGGCAACGTCCTTTTTGTAAAAGGCCCGCACATAGCTCAAATCAATGGAATGAGTGAAAGAGAACTCAACGAAAACCTCTGGTTCACTGATAGGCCTGCCAAACTACAAGGAAACGCCATTTTCTTAGGAAACGTTACCATGAGAGAAGACATGGCCCTCCACGTAAGTAAACAAGACTCCAAAATGTTGACCACAGATTCAGTTACTCAAATATAAATATATCGACTTATTTTTAGGAGATGGTGACATCAAAATATTTTTATATATACAGTGTGTCTACTTAAGTTGGAACCATATGGAAAACATTTTTATTATTGATTTTGGGAAAAAAAGATATTCTTGATAAAAAGTCCTGCATGACCCAAAACTTAAAATACAGTCATCAGATATCAAATTTTTCAAGCCGTATACGAGGTTTGTCAAAAAATACGAATTTTGCTCAAGAGTAAAGTACTTTTATTTTTTTACTAAATCGAAAATTTTCATTAAGAAATTTGCTAAATTCTTCACAAACATCAACAAAAGGAAAGCGTATCATGTTTATAGTAGCTAACGTAATTTATAACGTTTTCAGATATTTACAATCAATGTGTAGAGTTTATAAAAAATAAGAAAATCAGTTTTTCAGATAGATCGGTGTAATTGCATATTTGAATGTAATATTCAATTCTAATCAACTTTTCTTAATGAAAATTTTAGATTTTGTCAAAAATAAACGTACTTTACTCTTGAGCAAAATTCATATTTTTTGACAAACGTCGTATACGGCTTGAAAAATTTGATATGTGATGACTGTATTTAAGGTTTTGGGTCATGCAGGACTTTTTATCCAAAATAACTTTTTTTCCTAAAATCAATAATAAAAATGTTTTCCATATGGTTCCAACTCCCATGCCGGATATTTTGGTAAGTAATAGAGATATTTTAATTCTGTAAAAGCCAGTTCATAGAGCGCTAAGACAGCTTCAGTTTTAGACAAATGAATTTTAAATAGTTTATTATGTAGATGGCGCTGTGCTCAATATTTTTTTTTTGATGGAAGTCTTTCTTATATAGCACATCTGGTAAAAAATGCATTTTAAGCCGATTTTGTCTTATACACTAATTCGATAAATCTAGCCATTTTTGATATACAGAGTGGGTCACTCAAAACAGTTTCATCTTGTTTTTGTGCATTAATCATTTTAGAAAATGCTAAAACAGGTCGATTTTCATTCCAAATTAAACACATTTTTACAATACAAACATCTGTCATGTGTCAATCCCCTCCCTTCCACTTCTCCAACCCCTTAATTTTAAATAAGGAATCTACCATGTACGGCACATCATTGAAAAGGTAATTTTACGAGGAAGTCAGAAATATGTCTTTTGGGATAAAAAAACCTATAACGTATTATAAAGTGCGACACTTCATTTGAAAGCCAATTTAATGACTAATTCAATGCACCACATAACATTAATATAAATAGGTATTTCCTTATTGCAATTGCAAAAATATAAAGTTACCAATAATGTTTAAAATAATGCATGACTAATTTTCAAACCATTGCAAGTGCAATATGGAGGATATTTATATTAATTTTATGTGGTGCATTGAATTAGTAATTAAATTTGCTTTCATATAAGGTGTCACTTTATAATACGTACAGTTTTTTATTCCCGATTGAGGGCGATACAATTAAAAGTATCGCAATGAACAAACATATTTAAAAATTCCCCATAAAATTACCTTTTTAACGATGTACTACACATTGTAGTGTCACACTCTACAATACGTAGTGTTTTATCCCGCTAGAGGGCGATAAAATTTAAGTAACGGAATAAACAGAAATATTTCTGAATCCTCCATTAAATTACCTTTTCAATGATGTGCCATACATGGGTACATTACCTATTTAAAATTAAGGTGTTGGAGAAGTGCAAGGGAGGGGGGTTGACACATGACAGATGTCTGTATTGTCAAAATATTTTTAATTTGGATTAACAATCGACCTGTTTTAGCATTTTTTTTAAATCCAATGATTAATGCTGAAAAACAAGATGAAACTGTTTTGAGTGACCCACTCTGTATATCAAAAATTGTTAGATTTATCGAATTAGTTCAATGAACAAAATCTGCTTAAAAATGCATTTTTCACAAGATGCGCTACACAAGAAAGATCCTCCCATCGAAAAAAAAAAATTATTGAGCGCAGCGCCATCTACATATTTACCTATTTAAAATCAATTTATATCTAAAACTGAAGCTCTCTTAGGGCTCTATGAACTGGCCTTTCACAGAATTAAAATATCTCTATTACCAAAATATCCGGTCTGGGAGTTTTTATTGGTACATCCTGTATAAACATTGATGGTCCAGTTCCATACAGCAATAAATCAAAAATGAATGTTATGAGTAATCGAATATTTTAGTTTACAATAAATAAGTTATAAAGGATGCTCTAACATTATTAAATTACAAAAATAAAAAAAAAATGTTTTCTAACTTTTATTATAATTTAAACTTTTGTGACATATTGCCATGTGAAACACTTTGCTGTTTTATATACCAGTTTTGAATATTATAGTCCTGAAGGTGGCTTCTATGGGCCGACACTATATTATGTACTCGCCCTTTTTATTTGTAAGATCACTAAAATTATATATGTAGTATTAATTTCGAGTTTTACTTGTTCTTCTAATACAATAATATTTGTTTTTTAAGACTATTTTTAATAAGTAGGTACAAAAGAAATCCTAAATCTAAAAGTTAGTACTAAAACTTAAGTTTATTCATTGTTCAGTATCCGCTAGCTCACCCATTGTTAATGTGCATGGAAGATCTTTATAAAAATCCCAGTACTGACTACAGGGATAAAGTTGATATTGCACGAATGGACTAAGGACCGATTCCACCGTTGTGTTAAACGAAGTTTAAAATGACATTTTTACATTAACAATGTCAATTTAATCTCAGTTTAACACAACGGTGGAATCGGCCCTTAATCATTTACTTGAAGTAGATTTAAGTTTTTTAAGTTTAATCTTGGCTTCAGGTTTTGAACCGTACGTCAATTATTTATTTGTATTCATTTTTCAATAACAAACTTGTACCGAAAATTGTGAATACATACTAATATATCCAAAAGATACCTCATTAAAATTAAGATATCAATAAACTTTAAAATTTCATTGAAATCTCGGAAAGGAATTGTTTTCCGACATATATTTATTTAACAAAAAAAAATTATGTTTATTTTGATGTCCCGTGCTATTCAAACGTTTGTCAGTAAATTTACCCTGGGTATTATATAAAAATGAATAAAAAATATATTTTTTTTGCAGGGACTTCTAAACGGCATCAATGTGGACTATTTGTCGTCAAACTACCTCAGTAAAACCAAGGACCAAAAAATTTTTGCGAGCTTAACATTCGCCAATACCACCGTTTCTTAAAGGACGTGACAACTTCGCATATGCATGTTGGTAATCTGATCAACGATATCGATTTAAAGGATTTTTTGGAGAACGTCCTTATGCATAGGACTCAGTTGTTCGAAGATGTGGTATATTTTGAGGAAGTCACGGTAGAAAGTGAGTTTTTTAAAATTCGTTTTAAGATTTTTATGCCGGGCCACTTAAAAGTTTGACCTGCCTTATATTTGTTTTTATTTGAGACATCATTTTTTGTAATGCTTTTATTCACGTTTTCGAGCATTCTAAATTAAAAAATGCCAGAAAAATTCGTCTGAAAAATATCATTAAATTTCTCTTAGAATAAGTATAAAGAGAGGACTCGTAACGTTGCAGGAAATCGTGTTTCATTCTGATATCAATGCTATTTGACCAGAGGCGTAACATGTTGGAAATAAAATAATGAACTTTTATTTATGTTATTAGTAAATTATTGATCCTTTTAGGTATAAAGTAAGTTCAAAGTGTAAAAATTAAAATAAATGAGGAACAATAAATAAGACATAAAAAAAAAATATATAGATACAAGGTGCGCCACGCTCAACGGGGCGGAGCCTGGTAGTTAAACTACAAACTATATTAAAAATTTCTTCGAAAAAATATACAACTCAACGGCGACTACAAATTAAGGGTTTCCCAAATCTATCTTTTCTGTTAATTATAAGTTCTACTTTTCAAAATAATCTTAATTTAATAAAGATTTCCTGTTTCTTTAATAATTTTTTTTTGAAAATGTAGTACTATCGAAATTAATTACTCTTGATTACAAAATAATTAACGAATTTTTGACAGTTCCTTACAAAATGTAACTTTTTATCAGAATCATTAAAATATTTAAAAAATGTACGGGGTGTTTGTAATTTGAAGTTAGAATAAAATATTTTTATAATTACTGCGGTAATTTAAATGGATTATCCTGTATTTTCTATCTCTCTCTTTTTTTTATATCTCAACACTTT